ACTCTATGTCCCTGCCATCCACCTTCAATTATAAGCCTTTTGTGGGAATTCCCTGGCGGTCCAGTGGTTAGGACTCAGCGCTTTTGCTGCTGAGGGTCCAGGTTCAATCCCTGGTCGGGGAACTAAGATCCCACAAGTCGCGAGGCACAACCAAAAAGAGAAAAAAAAAAAAGATATAAGCATTTTGCCAATCTTTCCTCATCCCTTCTCTAACATTTTTTTCTGTAATATTTTAAAGCAAGTCCCAGACATCATATCATTTTAACTCTAAATACTTAAGCAGACATCTCTTAACTCATAAGGGCATTCACTTTTTAACACAACCCCTGGGCCATTTTCACACCTAACAGAATTAACAGTGACCTCTTTTACTTTTTTTTTTTTTTTAACTTTTTATATGCATTTTATCTTTTGAACCAGAACCTATTACATCTTTTTTTCACCTAAATTTATTTATTTATTTACTTTTGGCTGCATTGGGTCTTCGTTGCTGCATGCGGGCTTTCTCTAGTTTTGGTGAGCAGGGGCTACTCTTCATTGCAGTGCGCAGGCTTCTCATCGCGGTGGCTTCTCTTGTTGTGGAGCACGGGCTCTAGGCACGTGGGCTTCAGTAGTTGTGGCACGCAGGCTCAGTAGTTGTGGCTCGTGGGCTCTAGAGCACAGGCTCAGTAGTTGTGGTGCATGGGCTTAATTGCTCCGCGGCATGTGGGATCTTCCTGGACCAGGGCTCAAACCCGTGTCCCCTGTATTGGTAACAGTGACCTCTTAATACCATCCAACACTGAGTTCGTAATCAGATTTCTCCAGTTGTCTCAAAACTGCCTCTGTTCTCATGTCTCTCTCTCTCTCTCTCAATTCCACTCTGCCTCTGCCCCCTTCTTTGCCCAGCACCTCTGACTCGGTTTCCGCTCTGTCCCCACATATCTTTTGAGTGTTGGTCTCTAATTTGGGGGCTGCAGGCTTACTTCTCTCCCTTCCCACAGCCTCCTCCAGTGCAGGGAGCCAGTGGGTAGAGAGAAGCAGGGCTGAAGAAGAGGAGGCCCCATCCTCAGGGAGCTCCCAGGCCTGTGGACCAGGAGAGTGGGTCCAGGCCCCCTTGTGGGAGAGGCTGGATGGCTGGTGTGACTTGGGGGTAGCACCTTGTCAAGCAGCTCCCTGGTGGAGGCAGGGCCTTGGGTACCCAGCAGGCCTCCACACTTTTCCACTGTTTCTAGGAGGATACTCGGACTCAGCGGCAGCGGCTGCAGAAGCACTTGGCCGAGCATCTGCGCCAGACCTGGGGCCGGCCAGGGCCCCCCCAACAAGCCCGAGACCTGGGAGAGCTGCTGCAGGCCTGGGGTGCTGGCGCCAGGACTGGTGCTCCCAAGGGCTCCCGCTTCACACATTCAGAGAAGTTCACCTTCCATCTGGTGGGTGGGCCTGAGTGGCCCTGGGACATGCTGATGGGGCCAAGGCAGTATTGCTTTATGTACACACACCACATTTTATCCATACAGGGGCCCGTGTTCTCACCTGCCCTCTCCCCATGGTGGATGGGCACCCAGAACGGTCCCCTGGCTTCTTGGGAACTTCCGTGGAGAAAGGGTAGAGGGGTGGGAACTATGTAAGCGTGTAGGGCTGCTCTTTGTGCAGACCCCAGCTTTTCCTGGGCAGTTTCCTCTGGACATATCTTCTCTCCTTGGATGGTCATCCAGAGGGGCCCTCATCCTTCTCATGGGCAGATGGGCAAGAGCTGTGTCAGGGTCAGGGAGGTTTCTTTATGAGCAAACACTCCAGTCTAAGGTCACAGAGAGCGCATTGATCCTCACACACATTCTGACAGCCGTCAGTGGTACTGTACCTGGGTATGGTGCTGGGAAGGTGCTTTTGGTGGGTGTTGAGGCTGGGCTGTGAGGGGCAGGGCTTTCCGCGACAGCCAGGATGCTCCTTTCTCGCTCCCCAGGAGCCCGAGGCCCAGGCAGCCCAGGTGTCAGATGTGCCGGCCACCTCCCGGCGGCCTGAACAAGTGAGCAGAGCAATGGTGAGGCGGGGGAGGTGTCTTGGGCCCTTGGCTGTCTACTGGCCTGACACCCCCACCCCGACTGCCTGTGCCTCCCAGGACACATGGGCAGCTCAGGAGCAGGAGCTGGAGTCTCTTCGGGAGCAGCTGGAGGGAGTGAATCGCAACATTGAAGAGGTTGAAGCCAACATGAAGACCCTGGGAATCAACCTTGTGCAGGTGGGTGTGGGAGAGGGGCTGTCCACCGGGGTCAGGTCACAAGTCCGGCCTAGACGGCTTAGAGGGACTTGAGGGGGTACTCTGTAGAGGTCTGCACTTGTCAGAAGGGTTCATGGGAGACACTGGGGACCTGTGGGCTTCTTGAGGGTTCAGGAGAATCAGTGGGAGTGAGAGGGTGATGTAGGGTTGGGGGTGGGGGTGGTGTTGGACCTGCAGGGGTTAGAGGTGCCTTGGTGTCTGTGAGAATCGGGAGGGGTGTAAGTGTCCGTGGGCCTCTGTAGGGGCTTGTGGGGCTCATCAGGGGTCCTGGGAAGTCAATGTGGAGGTGGAGGGGTCAGAGGGGCCTGTGGGTGCCTGTCACTGCTTATAGGTCTCTGTTACTATCAGGAGGGGTCCGAGGGGCCCATAGGGCCCCTAGAGGGATGTGTTGTCATCTGAGGGCCTTGGGCTAGGCCAGGGCTCTCCAGGCTTAGCGGGGGCTGGGAGGTTGTGGTGTGCATGGGGCTTCCCCACTGACTGGGAGTGGGGATCCTGGGTGCCAGGTGGAGACCGAGTGTCGGCAGAGCAAGCTCAGCACAGCGGAGCATGAGCAGGCCCTGCGCCTGAAGAGCCGGGCGGTGGAGCTGCTGCCCGACGGGGCTGCCAACCTTGCCAAGCTGCAGGTGGGGCTGGCGCTGAGGCTGGGCCGGGAGGGTCGGAGTTGGATGGGCCCAGCCAGTGTGACATGTAGCCTCCCTGCCACCACCCCTAGCTCGTGGTAGAGAGCAGTGCCCAGCGGGTCATCCACTTGGCAGGTCAGTGGGAAAAGCATCGTGTTCCGCTCCTTGCTGAGTACCGCCACCTCCGAAAGCTCCAGGACTGCAGAGAGGTAGGTGGTGGGGTCCGGGGCCATGGGTGGGGCGGGTTCGGTCCCTCCCTAGGGGGCTAGCCCTGCGCTCTGCCTCACCGCCCTCTACCCGTGGGGTCCTGGCAGCTGGAATCTTCTCGACGGCTGGCAGAGATCCAGGAGCTGCACCAGAGTGTTCGGGCAGCTGCTGAAGAGGCCCGCCGGAAGGAGGACGTCTATAAGCAGCTGGTAAGGCCCGTGTGGGGGCCCTGGGCCACTCAGAGCTGGGGAGGTGTGGGTGCTAAGGGAGCACCTGCTGTCTCTGCCTAGATGTCAGAGCTCGAGACCCTGCCCAGAGATGTGTCTCGGCTGGCCTATACCCAGCGCATCCTGGAGATTGTGGGCAACATCCGGAAGCAGAAGGAAGAGATCACTAAGGTACGCCATCGTGGCCAGGGAGGGTGGGTCATACGGGTAGATATGCCGAAGGGGCAGATGTGTGTTGCAGGGCTACACGGGGACCTCACACCCTCTGAAAGTCAGAGCTATCTGGCCATACCCAGACACAGAAGAGCCCCACACAGTCCACTCCAGCCACCCCTGACCCTGTCTGGATGGGACAGCATAAACGTGAATGCCCTCAGCTGGCCGGCTGCCCGCCCCAGATGGGCTCACGGCTACCCTGGTCTCTGCCAGATCTTGTCTGACACGAAGGAGCTTCAGAAGGAAATCAACTCCCTGTCTGGGAAGCTGGACCGGACGTTTGCGGTGACTGATGAGCTTGTGTTCAAGGTGTGGGGCAGGCCAGGCTGGGTGCGGGGGAGGGGTGGGCCTTGGGCCCTGTGTGAGCCTCGTAGGTACACTGATGCTCGGGCCTGGCTTTGCCCTGGGGAAGATGAAGTCAGGGAGTGGGAGAGGGTGGCCTTGTGGGGGCCTGGAGGTGGGGGTGGGGTAGGGGCGGGGTGAGGCGGGGACAGCCCACCGACACCTTCAGGGTCTCCTCTGTCTGGTCAGGATGCCAAAAAGGACGATGCTGTTCGGAAGGCCTACAAGTATCTAGCTGCCTTGCATGAGGTGAGGGGAGAAGCGTGCCTGGGGGCTGGCTGGGGTGGGGCCAAGTTGGGGTGCAAGCCTTCTGCTCCTGCTGTCCCCAGAACTGCAGCCAGCTCATCCAGACCATCGAGGACACGGGCACAATCATGCGGGAGGTTCGAGACCTTGAGGAGCAGGTGAGGCCTGGGGCTGGGAGGGCTAACCAAGGCAGGCCCAGGGACAGCTCCTCGGTTTATGCCAAGAGAGGCTGTGGAACCAGACACAGCCCTGCCCCTTAGGTGCTGTGTGTGTGACCTGGAGCAGCCCAGTGGCCTGCTCTGGCCCCCTCCTTCCCCCTGAGGGTCCTCACGCCTGCCTCCCAGGGCTGTTGGCAGAGGCTTCAGCTCGAGTATGTGGTAGGCGATCCTGCCACATAGCAAAGGATGCTTTAGGTGGACGGATGACATGTGCAGAGGCCTGGCGGTGGGACAGAGCAGGCTGCTATTGGAGGGGGTGGAAGGAGCATGGGAGGGGCCCTGGGTGGCTGTGATGGGGTGGGGCTGGTGAGCAGGAGCTGGGAAAGCGGCCCTGCACGCTGAAGGGCTGCGGTTCGCATTGCCTTAGATTGAGACGGAGATGGGCAAGAAGACCCTCAGCAACCTGGAGAAGATCCGTGAGGACTACCGAGCCCTTCGCCAGGAGAACGCTGGCCTCCTGGGCCGGGTCCGTGAGGCCTGAGCAGCCCCCAGCAGAGGTCTCCCCCAGGCCTCAGGCAGGGATTTGGGGTGCTGGGGGCACTGGCCAAGCACTGGCCCGGGCCATGCCCTCTGCTTGTGGTCCAGTTCCTCCTGCTGTAGTCTTGGCCCCAGACCCTTGCCCACCTGACCCCAACCCTTATCTGGGGCGACCATCCAGAGTGTGGAAGCTCAGCTGCAGTTTATTGCGGAGGGTGCTGGGGGTTGGGGCCTTGGATCTCAAATAAATGAGGGGCTCTGTCTGCAGTCTAAGCTGAGGCATGGATGGGGGCACAGGGCACAGGGCTCAGGATGGGGGAGGGGGCGGGTGGCAGGTGAGACACTGGGTACATTTGGTGAGTCGGTGTGCATGGCCCTGGGTGTCTGCGTGGGACTCAGGACGCCCACTGGGGTGCTTTGTGGGTGCGCATGTGTGAGACATGCAGGTGAGTTCAGAGAGTCTGTGCGACCGAGCGTCTGTGTCGGGAGCTGTGTGATACCGTGTGTGACCAGCATGTGTCTGTGTGGCTTTCTGGGACCTGAGATCCTGAAGGTACCGAGGCTGCTTCTGTGCGGGTGTCTGGGCATGCCCCGTGTGACACTGCACCTGTGGGCCTGGAAGCTGGCTACGGGTGTGTGCTTTGGGGCATGTGGGTTGACAGGACTGTGCTCGGGTGTGACTGTTTGTGTGACTGCGGATTTGAGGTGGTGTGAGTGTACTGAGGCAGGCTCTTCGTGTTTTAGGGTTTGTATTGAGTCCAAGGGACAGGATTGCGACTCTCTGTGTCCTTTCCAGCCCTAAGGTCATCTGTGAGAGCGACTGAGGCAGGCTGTGTGTGTGGTCGGTTGTGAAGGCTCAGTTTGGCTGGAGAGCCAGTCGCAGGGGGCTGGGGCGGGGGTGTGGGGTTGGGGCCAAGGTCCCTCTGAGCAGCCTTGGTGCAGAGCATGTGATCCAGGAGGGCGGTCAGCTGGGGAGCAGGGTCCCTGGCCAGCAAGATGGTGCACACCTTACTTCTTGGTCCCTGCAGGGACGTTCAGGGCCGGTCACCCCTGCCTCCAGCCACTTCTACTCCCCCGTTTTGGCCCCTGTCCTTCCTTCTTTCCTTGGCTTTGAGGTCAGGAGCCGGGTGTGGGGTTGGAACACCTGCTGGGCCTCTGGCTCCTCTTCTTGCGGAACTCAAACTCATCCACGGTCCACACGGCCCCCTTCTCACTCTCCACACGCACGAAGCACTTATGCAGGCTCAGGTTGTGGCGGATGGCGTTCTGTGGAAGGAGGACCAGCCAGCCGGGCCGGGGACGTTGGGGAGGGGAGCAGGCAGGCAGTCATCCTCTGAGGCCAGCAGTCCCCACCAAAAATCGACCTCCTGCCCTTTCTCAACATGCCTACAAGCCCAGTCCCAGGCCCACCCATTCCTGAACTTGACCCAGCACCGCAGTGGCATTTGAGGCCCTCCCAGCCACTGCCACCTCCGGAGGTGCTCACCTTCCAGGTGGCAGGGTGGTTTCTGAAGAAGGCGAACATGCGTGTGAACCAGTGATAGATCTCGTTGAGTGTCCGCTGCTTCTCGGGAGCCTCCAGGATGGCCTGGAGGTTAGGGGGTGTGGGGGTAAGGGGAGCCGCTCCCCCAGATTCGGACTGAGAGGGGCACTGGCCCACCTTGGGCCTTCTGACCTGGGTGGAACTGTGGGGACGGGGGAAGGAAGGGAGATGGTGTGGGGTGACGGGTCAGAGACAGGGTTAGAAGCGGGGTGAGGGTAGGGCTGGGATTGGGATGGGGTTAGGTAGAGGATCAGGGCTGAGGTTGGAGTGGGGTCTGCTTCAGGGTTAGGGCTAGAGTTAAGTTAAGTTTCTGGGGTAGAGTTGGAGTTGGAGTTCTCTGTGAGAGTGAGGTTTCAGGGTTTGGGACGGGTAAGGCCAGAGAGTGGGGTCCAGTTAAGGATTTGGAAGGGGTAAAGGACCAGGCAGAGTTAAAGGTCAGGGAAGTGGCTGGTTAAAGGTCAGGCTGGGGATGAACTGGGGTGAGTCGAGGGGCGAGGGGTGGGATGACGCGTGACATTAGGTCAGGAGTCAGAGGTGGGCCTAGTTACGTAGTTATTTTATGTGTCAGGGATGTGGTTAGTTTCAGGGTCAAGAATGAGGTTGACTGTGTGTGGTCGTTAAGGGTCAGGGCTGGGATTAGGTGTGGAGTGAGGCTAAGGGTCCGGGAATTTGATCTGCTTGGATTTAGGAATGGAATTGCGTCAAGGGTCAGTGACCACGGCTGCGGTGAGGCTCCGGGTTGGGATGGGGCTAGGTAGGTGAACGGGGGGCATTGTGTAGGGTTAGGTGTGGGCCTAGGATAAAGGTCCGGGCGGGCTCTGGTGAAGCCTCTGGGAAGGCATTAGGGGGATGAGGATGAAGGGGTTGGGACGGGTCAGGTGTTACAAGGAAGGGGTTAGGGATAGGGTCTAGGGGGGAATGCGTCGGCAGACTGGGGTACGTCTGGGCTGGTGAAGGAGTTTGGGGGCTAGTTTGGGGGCTATTTATAGGCCCAGGAGGCAGTTAGGTTTGGATTTGATGTGGCCATCAGGAAGGGGGTGTGTTGAAGGCCAGCTTTTAGCTTGCACTGGCTTGGATGGCAGTTCAGTTGTGGGTTTGGGGGCAGGTCTGGGGTGAAGATGGGGGATCACATCTGAGGCGTGGGTTTGTTCAGGCAGGAGCCCGCCTGGGGGTGCTCAGAGAGAGGCAGACCCTCCACCCCACCCTCTCTTCCTTTTCCTCAGCCCGGCACTCTGCTTACCCAGCGGATGAGGGTGGCATAGGTGAAAGGGGGCCGCATGTTGTGAAACTTGAAGTAGTCCATGTTGTGGAAGAACTCTGGCAGAGGTATGGTGGGATCAGGCCCCGTCAGGGAACTCCTCGCTCCCTCTCCCACCCTCTGCTCTCGACCGACCGGCTGTCGAGGCTGCATGCCTGAAATCCCACCGTGAACACCGCTTTCCAGGATCACAGTCACTGTTGGCTAAGCACTTGACATAAATGATATCATTTCCCCTTTGCACCGCTCCCACCAAAATGGGGCTTATTCTCCCCAAGGTTTAAAAGAAATGAAGTAACTTCCACACGAAATGCATGTAACTGGTTAAATGGCGGAGTCAGGATGGCACTCGAAGGCCCTAATCGCTATTAAGCCCACAGCCCAGACTTTGCGGGTAGTAGGGGATTGGTGAGCTTGGGCGAGTCACCCTGCTTTTCCTTGGTGGGGAGAGGGAGAGTCCCTGGGAATTACTAAGCTAGCTCCCTCCCTTCTGATGACCAGATGGAGTAGCTGAAGTGCAGAGTGAGTGAGCCCTAATCCTCGGGGGAGACAGGGCCAGGACTAGACATCTGAGACCACGATGGGGGCTTGGAGGCCATGGAAATCCAGAGAGGAAGCTTTTACGAGCAGTTACCAGTTTCCAAAGGCTGGGTGGCAGTGGTGGGGAAGAGCAGTCCCCCGCCCAGTACCAGGCAGGGAGATGAGGGGCTCAGAGGGCACCACGTAGGGCACGTACCATCCTTACCTGGGATCGTGCTGTTTGCATGGCTGCCCCAGAGGTGCCTCCGCACAGCAAACAGGCCTTCAGGGGCCTCTTGGGGACCCGGCCAGGCTGGGACAGTGGTGCCCGGGGTGCCAGTGGCTACGATACAGCAGGAGCCCTTGTCGGACGATGCCTGGGGGAAGAGGGAGAGGCTGGTGACCCAGAGGCTTAAACTTGCCACTTTAGTTTTAAATAAATGTTTTTAAAAGTAAGGGCAGCCTCTTCTCAATTCCACTCTGATGTAGAATCCCACAAAGCAGCACGAGCCATATTTATTAAAGTGCGGGTATGGACACTAGTGTGTGTAGCACACCAGTGCCAGGGCCACGAGCTAGGGTTGAATTGGGCTCCTCTGCTACCCAATTGCGACCTTGGGAAAGTCACCTAAGCCTCCCTGGCCTCAATTTTCCTTATCTGTGAATTGGGGATGATAGTAATACCTACCTCACCATGCATCATGGGGATTAAATAAGTTAACGTCACCAAAGTGCTCACAAACAGTGCCTGACACCCAGGGCCAGCTTCTGTGTGATCTCTGAAGGTCCTGGGGCCCTGCACTTTGTTTAATGCTCTGCGGTCATCATTTTGAAATCTGAGCCCCGTGATTTCATTTTGCACTGGGCCCTGTGAGTTATATAGCTGGTCTTGCCAGCGGCACACAGTCTGCATTCAGTGTTTGGCGATTTGCTGTCGCTTTGCAAACTCAAGATCATGATTTGGGATCTTAAGGTCAGAGGGTTTGTAGGTAGAAAGGGACAGATTCCTAGGTCTGGGCATGTTTGGAGCTGGGGACAGGGGCCCAGAGATCCCAGGGCCTGGGTGCAAGGATAGGTCTCCCGCCCCCTGCAGGGCCTCTCCCCTGCTCCCCAGCAGTCTGTGCAACCTGTAGGCCTGGGGTGGCTCACCGTGGATGGAGCCTTGGTTGGGGCCATCTTCCCAGCCAGGTGGGCTTGCATAGCACCCAGCTTCTCCTTCTCCAGCACCAGCTGTGAGGACAGGCACAGAGTGAGGCCTCAACCTGATCTTTCTCCGCCACGTCTTTGTGTAGGCTGTGGTCTTCCCCGGGAGTGCCCTGCCCCCTTCCTTCCTTCATGCCAGCCCCATCCTGGGTGAGCTTGTATCCTGGCACAGGGTGGACGTACGGTTCACCCACCGCCACCCTGCCCCTGCCCCCCCCATGTCACCTGTTGCTCCAGAGACTGCACCACCTCCCTCTGGAGGAGACACTGCGCCCTGCCCTTCTCATCCAGGAGATGGTCTGCCTGGCAGTGCCTGGGTAGCGGAAAGAGTCCATGCGGGTGACCATGGCGAGCCTGGCTTCTCGGCTCAACATTCCTAGTGGGGAGGGCTCAGACCCTCTGGGAGGAAGGTCTCTCCTCAGAGCCTCAGCCTCCCTCCCCTCTTTCTACCTCAGTCTTCCTTTCACACCTGTCATTCCTTCAACATATGCTACTTGGCATCTACTGTATGGCCAGGGTGCTGGAGATGATGATGGAACGGTAGTGAGCTGAGAGTGGGAAAGGCATTCCAGGTGGAGAGTACAGCTTGTGCGAAGGCCTGGTTGTGAAGAGGACGGGATGCACTGAATTGCCACTGATAGTTGGGTATGGTTGGAAAAGGTGTGTGTGTGTGTGTGTGTGAGAGAGAGAGAGAGAGAGAGAGAGAGAGAGAGAGAGAGAGAGAGAGAGAGAGGAGAGAGAGAGAGAGAAAGAGAGAGAGAGAGAGAGAGAGAGA